AAAAGAAATAGATCGGGTAAGATTGAAGACTCCAGGATTTTCGTCAGCGTGTACATGCGATGTTCAGGGGCGTATTTCATTAGAAAAATCTGAATATATAAATAGTGAATAAATTTAATCAAGCATACGTAGTGTAGAATACGAGATTAAGCATGCTTGCTTTATCACTGCTCAATATTGATGCATGCTTTATGGAACCTCTGGAACTAGATGTCATCATTATCCGGTGAGTTTACATACGTTACGAAAAATAATCATTTCATAGCAGAAAAGAAGTAACAAAAATCTGCCCTTTAATAGTCTTTATGCAGGCCATCGGCTCTAGCTTCTAGATATGTAACCAACCTTAGATTAATAATCAAAATCGCGACATCAATTGGAAACAATTATTGTTGCAGATGATTTGCTTGATGATACCAGCTCTCAAAGTTCTTCACACTCAGGATCATACTCCAACCTGAATTATGTTTACGGCGATGAGCACAAATCTCACATGGGTCCTACAAGAAGAGACAAGCATCCAATTGCAGGAACCCACAGCTCAACTAGATTTTGTCCTGAAGAAAGTTCTTATGCTAGGCAGCAAGTTGTTAGCAATGGCTACAGACAGGGTAGCCTTTTATTGGAACCACATGGAGCTTCTAGTTCCAGAAATAGGAAGATGGTTTTGGATGAACGTAGATTGACAAGGAACCGATCGTTGGTAGACATTCGCAGCCAGTTGCTGCACAGATCGTTAGTTGAAGAGGTGAACAAACGACGCTTATTCAAGACAGTGGGAGCTGTTGAAGACATTGGATTTCAAACGCCTTGTGATATTTCTGAACCGGGATCACAAAAAGCTTCAAGGAAGAAGAATCCAAAACCTTAGCTCTTGTAAATATTACCGGTCAAAATACTTGGTGATACCTACCGGCTAGAGGAACCGTGGCAGATACAATAAGGGAAATTTTGAGGATAAGAGTTTTATTTGTGTTTGATCTTAATAAAGAGTTTGGGCAGATTGGCTTTCCATGTTTGCCAATGTGAAGCTCGGGTAATTACATGTAATATACACCTTTATGGTTACAGTCAGCGTGTAAATAAATATATATCTGCATTTTGTACATGTGGAAGCAAAGCCTGTTTGGACCAAGGTTTTTCAATGGCGATCATGCATTCTCTTTTTAAGTGCGAACCATGGAGGGATATTGACTGAGACACGATCAGTCAAGATGTTGTGTGATTCATTTGTGAATTTAGATTCAGTTTAATTAAGTATTTACGTAAACAGAATTAATGTGAAATTAGAAATTCGGCCATTTGAAATTAATATTTTAAACATAATAATTTCTTTTGTCAAAGGGTGACAAAAGTCCTGCCATAAGTGTAAATTACGTATTTATAAATATTATTTTTATTTTTGTCATTTACTTAAAATATATGATAGAATTTATAAAGGTTGTTCATAATTAAATTTTGTGAACAGTTTTTTTTTTTTTTTTTTTTTAGAAAAAATAATAATTTGACACTTGTATCACAGAGATAATAATCTCATAAATGCTAAATAAAACCATGGATTAAAACGAATGAATCAAGAATCAAGAATCAAGAAAACAAGTAATATATATATATATATATTGAAAGTTGACACATGTCAATTATTTATTTATTTTGAATAATTCCATATTTAATATGACAATACATAATAAATAATTATTTCTTGAATGATTCTTGCTGTTCTTGATTGAATCTCAATAATCCTAAATGTTCTTGATTTGGTTTCATTTTGATTATTGATTAATCTTGAAATTTAATTCCTTAACACATATTTAATTGAACTAAACTCATTTTATTAATTTAAAATCACAATCATAATCATATTAAAACCAACAAAAGTGGGAGACAAAATCAGTCTCACCAAATAATGCAATGCAGAGCATGCTGTCACAATTTCGGGATTTAATTTTTTTCCTTTAACTCCACATTTCATCCCTAAACTTTCTTCAATTCCAGATGTCAACCCTAATCTTTTCTTATTTCGAGATTTCACCCCTCATCTTTCCTTAATTCCACATATACCCCTAATATTTTCTCGACTCCAGATTTCGCACCTGATCTTTCCAGATTTACCCTTAATCTTTCCCCAATATTTTTCCGTATTTTAAGTTCCCGTAATGTACACATCAAGAGCAGGTCCCGACGTATGCTAAACTCAAGACGTGTGTGTGTTTGTGTGTGCAGTCAAAGGTGGATCTATTGCTGCCTGAATGATGATGCCCACCATTTACGAGAGAAAAAGCTACAATCTTTAATCAAATTGTATGTATTGATGATGTCTTTTAAGGGTGCTGACTCTCTTGCAAGATGAAAATTGATTCTTTAAAACTTTAATCAGTCTGAGAGAAATGGGATTTAACGAAGCATGAAAAAAAGACCCATCAAGTGTGCAATGAATGGGTAAGATTCCCAATGACCTACTACTTTCCTATTTTGCCAAAACTAATTAACTTGATCGGCACAAAATCTGGGCAAGGTTTATTTGTTGTTTGTCCCTTCACACACGTTCAAAATAACCTACACATGATTTGTCATTTTCATTGTCATTCTCAATTTCTTCTTATCACAAACAGTTTCAGATGCAATCATTAATATCAACTCTGAATTAATAATCTATTAACTACTTTATATGTTTTGAGCAAACAAAACAAATTAAGATTAAACTAACTGGACTTGGACTTGGACTTGAGGGAGTGACAAGTAGGAATGACCCAAAAAAAAAAAAAAAAAAAAAATCAGTGATCCGTATCCCTCGTTAGAGTTCGTTACAGGTTTTAACCAAGACCAAACTAAATCGAGTAAGATTGATTGGAATTTTTAAAACTATTCAATTCGAGAGCAGATCAAATTTGAGTTTTAGAAACTTATTCGAACCTGATTCATCATTCTAAACTTATTATGTTATCATCTTTAATAATAAGAAGAGTGTTTTTAAATAATACCCGTGCGGCATAAATTTTTTTTTTTTTTTTTTGGACTGTGTTAGCTTACTGATCCAAAAAGAATCACAAGTCTTTCCTGAAAACAACAAAAATTATCACTCCATGATTGATGTAAAATTGCAAAGCAGCCAAAAAAGAGAATTGAAAGGTCTAGGGCCTATACTTGTTTTCTTGCTTTCATGGAATTACAACATTTTCATTGTCTTTCTTACATCTGCAGGCTATGACTTTGGACTCTCACTTTTCTATTTAACTAAATGCATATATTCCCACACCTTATATTACAATCAGACCCACTTGCTTAAACTAGGAGAGGTAGGAGTCTAATGAAACTTATAAATTACTTCAAAAAAAAAAAAAAAGAAAAGTTAAAACCAAACTAATTAATTTCTTTGCACAGAGCAAAAGAAGACAGTGCTAAAAGAGAGTAGAATATATTCCTCCAATATATTCTTATTGTAAAAAGAAAAGGGTCATTGGGAAATTCAAAGAATCAAGGAAAGCAACATTGAATCATTCTATTTTTCCCACCATAAACGATCAAATTTAGTCATCTTCTTAACTTATGATCTCCTATTTAGCCTGTTAAATTCAAAGGTTTCATCATGAAGACAATAATGAACATACCCCATTTGAACCAAACCTAAGTGACAACCACCTTGGTTGCTATTTCCATTTCAAACAACAAAACAAGAGTAGATGATATCCAGGGATGCAAAATTATCTTATGTTCCAAATCTTCCATGCCTGTAAAAAGTAATTCTACTAAAATTATATATATATATATATATGCATATAAATATGTGGTGGCAAAAGCTTTTTCTTTATACACATTTGGCCTAAACCACCTGTTTTTGGTTCATCAGCAAATTAGACCTAAATCCATTTGTTTATTACTATAATAATTATTGTATATCTAGAAAGGTCGGTTGATTTTTCATGCTAAATTCTTGTCTTGAAGCATTTTAACCATGGTGATGGTGATGCTTTATTCTTATTTCTTTTGCCAATGCATGGTAGAGAAATGGAAACATCAAGGCTTCCTAATCCATATCTTAATATCCTTCAAAGTGTCTTCAGCTTTTATATTGAAACTTCAACTTTAAACATGGAAATTTATGAATTTACATATTAGTAAAAGAGTTTGTGTTACTTGTTAGTCAATACAATTATGCTTAAGTAAGAAATAAAATTATAATAAGATCATTAATAGCGTGCTTAATCCAATATATAAAAATGTTACTACACTAATAACATAGAAAAATTAAGAGGCTGACTAACCATCTTACTCAATTAGTTTGATTCAAACTAACTTTAATTTTTACAAAAAACTAACATTATATGAATAGTTGATATTTCTTTCACTTTATATTACATCATTTTATAAGAGATTACGTTATTAGTAGTATATACATATTACGTAATCAATAAAATATATAAATTTTTATTAAAAAATTCTCACATAATATATATTCATAAATTTTTTTACGATAAAAGAAAGTTTACTAATATAATTTTTTAATTTTTTAAAAAATATATATATTGATTTTTCAACCGATAAAATTTAAAAAAAAAAAAAAAAAAACACATAATATGAACCCTTGAAAAAGGACCATGCAATTATGTTCCAATTCATGTTGTTGAGAAACAATAATTTATTTTGACTTAAGTCTAATTATATTAAAAAATGATGAGTCATCATACTATATTTCATGCATGCTTGAATTTTCAACGGCCCCCCCCCATTAGCACTTTTTCAGAGAACTCAACTCACAGCACAGGTTTAATCCTACTTGCTTTTACACCATGGAAATTTCTCATAATGTAGATGCTTATCAAAAGATAAACACCCTAATTATGCAATTCTCCTTTATTTTTTTCTTTTGTCAATCACCCTTTTTAGCTTGTGATGAGTTGGGGTAGCTTTTTCCAGAGACTGTCTTAAATTTAAAGAAAACTCTGTCTGCCCACCTTCTAAGCCCCTTTTTTTAGCTTTTCCTATTTTAAGACCTTGATTCAGTCTTCTTTTTAGATATATATAATTGAATTCTGTGAAATGGGTAATTTCTTGAAACTCATGTTTATGAAAGAAAAGATTTGCTAATTTCCTTAGGGGGATAAAACAAGTGGAAACTGGATCAGTCTTCGGTTATCCTCCTAAGGAAAGTTCATTTATTTTATAGCAGCAACTGATTGGTTTGGAGACCAAACACTATCTAAAAATCTAACTAATCCACTGGGAATATTTTTTTTTTTAGAAAAAAAAAAAAAAAAAAGGCCCAAAGCTTCAATCAGGAACAAGAAAAGGCTGAATCAGCCTTGAGTTATGAGACTGGAGTATTTTTAAGACATTACTTATATCTTTGTAGGAATTTCTTGCACGAATCCAACAGCTTCGGAACAATCTTTTACATTCTGGAATCATGATTCTGTTTGGTATAATTATGGTCATAATTTATTTTAAGAAAGTAAAAAAGAAATGGATTTTACTTTCTGCTTGCAACTTTGTTTCAAAGAATTCAGAGCTATGAATATGAACAGAGAACTTGTAAAAAATTGAAGCTGTTTCTGAATAGAACTTTACTTGTTGGGATTGAAATTGAGGAAAAGAGGCTAAGAATAAGGATTATAAGTATATGTACAGTAGATATTATATATGCATTTTGATAATCTAATTACTTGAACAACTTTACAAGCGTAAGTTAGTCATATCAAACCAGATTTGTTCGAATGCCTTGACTATAAGATCATGATATTCAGTTGAATTCAGTGAAAGGTAACAGGCAAGAAGGTCTTCCAAATCCTTTGATGTCCTGATATTGTTACCCACAATCATTTCCACCATTGATTCCCTGAAGTCTCTCTGAGGATCCACAGAGGATTTCTCCACTGCAAAGCTATCTGATATGGTCTTGTTCTTGGAATTGAAGCAAGTGTTTGATGACGAAACACTTCTCCTAGCACAGGCTTGAATCTTCTTGTTGGCGATTCTTGGAGAATTTGCTCGAAGCCTGATTCCATTGGTGTTGATGGGTGATTTTCTGCCAGGAGAATTCCATTTGGGAGATTTTCTGCCGTTCATTTTTGCTGGTTTTGTCACTACTGGGGGAAGTTCAATCTCATAAATGGGTTCCAAACCATCTTTCTCGAATAATTTCTTGTTGCAGGAATCGTTGTTCATGTCGATGATGATATCAGTATTCGAAGAGCTGACTTTACAATTACAAGAACTTGACCAGGAGGATGCAAGTTGATCAAAAGACTGTGGAAGAGCAAAGTTGTTTTCGTCTTCATCAGAGTCTGACAAAAGAGATTCAGGTAGCCGATGAGGTTCAGGAGAAGTTTCAAGAGGAGAAAGTGAATAATCAGAAGAATCTTGAGTTGAACTGGACTCAACCAAGACTGAGTTAAGACTAACTTGACAGCCATTAGAAGAGACAGCAGAAGAGGGCACAAGCTTAGGAGAAGGCTTGTAAATAGTTTTTCTCTGGGTTCTTTTCTTTGAAGATCTTCTGGGTGGATCATGGAAGTGATGGAGTGAGGCCCTGGGATGATTGTAAAAGCTGTAATCAGGTTTTGCAGTGTTGAAGTAGTGAGAGTATGCGGGTGGTTGAGATGATTTTTGAGGTTTAAGAGAGGTTGAAGAAGATGAAGAAGGGTGTTTTTTCTTGGTAGAATTGTAATGCTTTTTTCTGGCTCTGTTCATATCTTTAAGCTTGTAAAACCAGGCATTTGGCATCATATCTGAAAATCTGAACCTGTAATTACCCATTTCTCTCCTTTTTTCCTGGTATTGCTAACCTGTAATTCCCATCTTCTCTCAGTCTCTGCTAAGATTTTTAGCTGCCTCTATTTAATACCCAAATTGAAGATGACAACCAAGTAAAGTAATGAAAAGGGGTCCACTTGAAAAGTTTAGCATGAAAAGATATGGTGGGAGTCAACTTGGTTGGGGAAATCACCTTGTTTCCATCTTTGCCACCCCCAACATAACTTGCACAACAGACAGTTTTGGGTTTCAAATCATACCATCAGGATATTTTTTGTATTTAATTAATTGCCCTTATATAACTTATAACTCAGAACATGCATCTCCGTACAGAGAAGAAATACTAATCATCCAACTAATAGCTAGTTTATTGCACCAGCGAAATTTATTTTATAACTTTCTTATCTCTATAAATAAATAAAAATGTAAAAGATGCAGATTTCCAAATGTAATGAAAACAGTTTAGTCTGTCAAAGATTTTGCAATCAAAATCATCAGACAAACTAATAGAAGTTTCTGGGATTGCAGAGATTGTCAACACCTCATCTGGGTTCATATTCTTTTATTTATATATCTAAAGCAGTTTAAAAGTAAATTTAAAAAAGAAAATTCAGGACCCAGTTGTCTACAAATCCTGCAATTCCACCTTCAACAAATGATGATTCCATGCCTTTCCAAACTCTTGAGTTTTAGAAGCCCCACATTTGTGTCTCCTCCAAATCCTTTTGCGAGTAGCAGATCAGCTTAAACACCAATCATGGCATGACAGTATATTAGTTTTGTCAAAGCTTACAGCAAAGCTTAGTTTTCACTCTGCTGTCAGATAATTACTTACTGAAACTTGGAAATGTACCATAATGAAACTTATGCAGAAAGTTCAGAAATTTATTATTGTATACATTATAAAACTAACGAAGATTCTTTAGCAGACAGAATTAAATCGAGAATATTTAGTCGTTTTGGTGTTTAGATGAGTTATTCAGGGTTCTGACTGCTCTTCAATTTTTCAGTCAACTTCTGGTCACCAAATTTATATAGTTATAAATGTACATATTTACAGTTTGTTCATAAACACTAAAATTGTATGATTTGAATAAGAACGAAGCTAGTTATGAATTGTTAAACATTTAGGATAACGAAAATTCTTCAAATTGCATTCACCAACTTCAAGCTCCCAAATTTCTATGTTCCAGTCAACCTTTTCAATTGATTCTTTCTTATAAATTACAGTTCTATACATCTAGTTTATGAATATGTAAGAATCGTTTCTCATTTTGGCCTATGTTGGGAGAATTAAATCCCAAATGTTAGAGAACTTTTGAACTTTAATTTTTAATGGAATTTAAGATGTTAAAATAGATAATTGTGTGGTATTACGGATGAAGGTTTATAGAGATATGTGTTTTATTCGTATCGTAAATATCAGATTTTATAGAAAGAATCATAAATTTTAATATTAAAAAATTTCATAAAATAAATTTATGTTTAATAGGTTATAAACATAACTTTGAAATTTATGAGTATAAACTTATATTTAAATTTTGTCAAGACTATATATTTACTTTACTTTAAATATTAATTAAAAAAGTCCTAGAATTATTTTGTATTAAAAAACTCATGTTGTTTTGGAAATTAACTACCAAAGTGCAATCTTAATTTTACTGTTACCATTCAGTTTAGATCGAACTGGACTGTAAAATAGCAGTCCCATCTGGTCAGGCACTAATGAAACTAAAACAGTCAGGTCTTCGGCCCGAACTTTTTACCTTTGAAACGGTTCTAGGTGTAGTCCCAGTTCCAAAGCTAATGAAACCTCAAAATTAATGTTGAGATGCACGGCAAATATGTGTGTACATATAATAATATATATGTAATCAGACTCCACAGACTCACCAAAGGAGATTTCTCTCCAAACATGGCCAACCCACTTTCATTTGACCAACCAAGACGTGAACCCCACTGCCACTTCCTCTAAACGGCTTGCCCACCACTTCCTTCTCACCAAATCACATATATATATATATATATATATACATATATATGTACCAACAGTCTAGCTGAAGAACAGCAAGCAACCAAACAAAATTCTCTATTCCTTCACCCACACTCTTAGCCTAATCATTAGATATGAAAATGAAAGCATTAGTTTCCTTCAAATACAAGCTTTTCAAACCATGCAAAAAACTCCTCCTAATCCTCAGATTCAAGCTCAAAAGACCAGTCTTTATAAGAGCTCTAAGGAATCGTTCACACCATGCCAAAACTGGGAAAACTCAGTCAAAGAATCGAATTAGAGGATTACTATCATTCTTTCATTTGTTTAAGAAGCCGAAGAAGATGGGCCGACTGATGGAGCTTAGGAGTCCTTCAGATTCAGTCAGTGACAGAAGACTCCTTCCATCACCTCTTACGCCAGCTTATTTACGAGCTAGCAGAGGTGGAAAAAGAGAATTCTTTGGAAACGACGAAGTTGAAGATGCCTGCAGGAGTTTCGAGAACTATTTGGTTGAGATGATTATTGAAGAAGGGAGGGTAAAGGATTTGATGGACGTCGAAGAGCTTCTCTATTGTTGGAAGAACCTCAAGTGCCCAGTTTTCATTGATTTGGTTTCTAGATTCTATGGAGAGCTATGTAAAGACTTGTTTTCAACAGTTGAAGAAGATGGCGGTGATGATGACGACGACGATGATGGTAGTGATAGTGGCAATGATTCAGAAAGCGCTAAGTGATTCGGGTTTAAACCAAATTAAAGGGAATAAAACCCAACGTTTTCCTAGGATATATGGTCCAACATATATGATGTGTAAAAAACCAGCAAGTTGGGAGTTTTCCCTTTTTTTTTCCCAACACTTGATTTGTGTAACTTTCAAGCAAACATAATACCGATTAGCCAAGAAGGAACGAAATCTTGTAATGGCAAGAAATTAAAACTTCAAGTAACAAATCAAACCATGGACAGAGGAAAAAAGAAAAGCTCATTGTCCACCGGTCTCAAACAGTATTTTGAAATCCAATCACCAGCCAGCAGGAACATAGTAAAACGAAACAATGGAAAGCCTAATACCCTATAGAAAGTTAAGGGAAACCATTAGATCATGTTGCATTCAAGAACCAATCAACTAAAAATCATGAACAGAACAGAATCATGGGGAAAAAGTTAAGTGCGATAAACAATATGTAACGAGTATTTATTTACAGTTAACTCAGATGGAATAGCAAGATTTTTGCAGCTGAAGCAAATACAGAGTCCCATCTTTGGGTTCAAAACAACCATACTTGCTACAAGTACAAAAACTACCATCCAGAGCTCTCAAACTTAAGATAAGTATTAAATAAACGGTAACTAGCTGCTTATCACTTGGAATTCCATAAAGATGCACCAAGTTATTACCTTGCTTTTGAAAGATAAACTCGGGATTTAACCACAATATCCCCAATTCTAAATCCGGGAATAACCATGAATTGAACAATATGACTGACATCCCCTTCATCAAGTGCAACTTTACCTTCCCCATCCTCCACAGATTCCATGTAGACACACGAAAATTTGCTTCCTCTTTTGACAGAAAACACCTTCACTTCAGCATCTATCATGGCAGCAATGCCTTGTAAAACCCAAACCCACCTTGCCATTTTAACAAAGATTTGATAAAATGGTGTTCTTGGATGCTTGCCAATGGATACAAACTTCCTATGATCTAAATTACCGAAAAAAGATGCTTCCATTGATGGATGAACAACCAAAAGATACTTTTCTCTGCAAAATTTGGCAAAACCTGAACCCGGGTTTTCAATCAGTCCATCCATGGGATCATCCAACCTCATTACATCATGCACATCGAGGGACTCCAAAGACATTCCATGAAACATTCTCCTTGCTATGTAGGCTTCAAATGCATACTTCTTATCTGACCTCTTGGAATAAAAAACTTCATCCTCAACTGACTTAGCTGCCTGGTCTAAATCCCAACCTGAAGCTTTCATCAAGCTAATCAACGGCCTCGCAAAATCATGAACAGATTTTGAAGCTGCTACAAATGCATTCTCAAAATCAGAAACATTCAAAGCCCTCCTCGCATTCTTCTTTTCCAACCTGTCTTGTCTCATCTTCTCAGCCAACCTCTTGATCCCTGAATCCAAATCTTCCAACTTTTGCCGCAACACAACAATCTCAGAGTCCTTAGCTTTCACTTCAGACTTCAATTTTTCTAAGAGCTTCTCGTTAACTTTTATTTCCTTCTTGACACAATCCAAGCGGGAACCATTGAGCTTGGCTTTTGAGAATAGCTTCTCCTTGTAAGCACGCTTGATCTTGCATAAGGCTTCAAGCTGAGTCACAACAAGACCATTAGCTGCTACAATCTTATCAGGGTCATAAGGAATATGAGCTTTTTGAAGCTCCACATACGCAGCTTTCAGAGCTGAAACTACATCAAACAACTTGGAAATCTCCACTCCAACACCCACATTCCCTCCATTCAAAACACCAATAGGCGGCTGGGGATGAACTTTCTCACCAACCATATCAGTCCCATCAGTTTTGTCACTGACGTCCTCACAAAAAGGAGCGTTCTTGATACAGATGTTTTGGGGATGGTGACTCTGATTTTCAGAGGAAAATACTCCAATGGACCTCAACCTGCAAACTTTTGCAAACCTGGAGACGATTTCAGATATATTTGTAGAGGGTTTAACTGGTTTCACGGTGGCACATTCCATTCCTTAAAGAAACCGTAAAAACCTCAACCAGATCTGGTAGTAAATATCAGTGAAGTTTAAACGATTCAGCTCTCACAAACAGAAAACTCAAAACAAAAAAGAAAAAAAGTAAAAGGTTAGAAAAGTGCATTGGGTGAACAGAGGATCCATGGAATGTCCCACTGAAGAACCGGGATTCCCGGAAAACACCTTAAACCCTGGAAACGGTGGGCAAGAATCAGCCAGAATAAAGAAATGTAGCAGGGTTTTAGACTAGCAACTGTACTAGGAACATTTTATTAAAAATAGCTAGCCATACAGGTCAGGGGATCAACCAAAAGATTTGAAATGATACAGAACTAATTAAACCGCCAACATTTAATACACAAACAACTCCTCGAATACAAGTAAACGAATCAAAAGGGTCAAACAACTGTTAAAGATTGAAACTGTGGCCAACAAAAAACTCATTAGCATTGACGACGAACTGCGACCACAAAAAAAAAAATGGAAGCCCAAGAACACTCGTGAAGTAAAACGACGGACCCAGATAAACAAAACGTTCAATCAACGAAAAGAAAAAGGAGGAGGAGAGACAGTGAACTACCTAATCATCGACAAAGGAAAAAGGAAATAGTAAAAAGGCCAAAACTTTTCAGCCTCAGAACACAGAGCATGAACTAACCGACGGCTTAGCTGCTTAAACCACTCCCTAAACACCCATTGTGTTGCCTAACGACTCAGGAGCTTGCTTTCTCGGTTCTCACCAACCTCAGTTGGACGAAACGACGGCGTTTCAGGGACTGTATGGCTTGATCACGGAATTGAAGTATCAAAACAAAAAAACAAATAAATAAAAACAGAGAGAAAAACAGAAGTGGAAAAAATGTCTTTTTTTTTTTTTTTCAGTTTAAAAGAAAGATGTGGAGAGAAGAAGACAGTTCAGTTCATTCAATATAATTTTACTAATATATAAATGAGTAGTCTACTGTTCATAATATTTGAATTTCTTATAAAAATTTTAACACATTAAATTATGATATGATAATGAAGATTCTGTTTGAAGCAAGAAATGTAGTTTTCTTAAGCATGATGATTACTATAATGTTTCTTATATTTTATATATGTTATAAGATTTGGAATTGACATTGGAGTGGAAAAACGTGAGGTGTGGATTTATTTGTGTGAATATATTTATGGGGAAATGGTGGTAAACCGAGAATCTGTGCTGGGACAGAGGTTTTGCAGTTTGCAGTTTGCAGTTTTGCAGAGTGCAGGATGCTTTTCTTTTTTTTTTTAATTATTATTTTTTACGAGAATTGTTTTTGAATTATTAAATAAATAAATTTAATTACCGAAAAAGAGTATTGTAAATTGACGACGGAGTAAATTATTAAGCGCACGCCATTCCACTTTCTTCTTCGTTCCACCTTGTGTCAGTCAGTACGAGTTGCGGTGTCAATTGTCACCTATCCCCAGAGACCTCCCACCACCCTTTGATTTTTCTTTTATTTGTGGGTTCTGCTCTGTTTTGAAAATTCAAATCCAGGGCAACGGATTATTTTTTACTGCATAATTAAACGACACCGTTTTAGGAATTGGGCTCTGGAACTGGGCCTCCCCTTCTTCCTCTTCTGATCAACAGATGAGCATGTAAAGGACAATAGTAACCCATACACAACCAAAATATATCACATAATTATACATATTAATCAGGAGTAATACATGTATATAATGCAGAGAAAACCGGGGGGAGAAAGTTGCCTGCCTACTTAAAATTTACAGTGATGAATGGGACGTATAAGTAAATTTGATGTAGTGTAAAAATATGGTGTGTGTGTATATATATTATATACTGTTGAGCAGGTAAAAGGAATCCAATTCTTTTTGGAAGGTATATATAATTAAGGGCATGGGAGATAAGTCAGCCCCGCATGTCTAAAAGTCCAACTCAATTTATTATTATATATATTAGTTATTTTTTAATTTAAATTAAAAAAAAAAAAAAAAAAAAGAGGAGTAAAATTAAGAGTGGATAAAATGTGAGAGAGAAAGAAAGGGTCGCATCAGTGAAGTGTCAGATTTTATTCAAAGTTAAATAATTGAGATTGATAAGTGGTCTGTCAGGAGATGATCTTACCCGCACATGTCACCCTCACATTCCCCATCTCTCTAAACCCTCTGACTAACCCCCTTTTTTCTTTCAAAATCGACGCTAATTATTTCCGTACCAAATTAAAATATCTAATTATAAATAGTTAACATTTATTACAAATAAATTCCACATCAATTTTTATAAATTAAAGATTAAAACTCAAATTACCGCATCATTATTTCTAAGTACCATATAGAATTTAAATTAACATATCAATGTTCACTGTATCGTTATTTTATATTGGGTATCGATTCAACATAATTTATGTTTTCTCGTCCTATCAAAATTTATAAAATTTTGCATCATGTTAATAAATTATATGATACGATAAAATAAATTTAAAAAAAAATAAGTTCATAAAATTAAGTAATAGAACACGAGATAACATAGAATGAAATTAAGGACACGATACAATATAATTAATAAATAAAAATATTTAATATATATAACACATAATTGTTTTAACTAATTATAATATAATTATTAAATTTTATGTACATAATTAGTAATTCAATATAAAGGGTGGGAAGTAAGAAGCTAATTAGATGTGAACAAGAGCATTCCTTTTCTATCCCCACGCTTGCAATTCAAACAACTTTTTCATCAAAACGACAAGCACAATAAAACACTCCCCCAACTATTTTAGTCTCTCATTCCACCAAATTCAAAGTTGTCATAAATTAAATCAACTTAATTGGTGAAAAATAATTTGATTACTTGATTAATTTGATAATAATAAGTAATTAGAGTAAAATTGTACATATACTAAATTAGTACGGAAAATTTGAATAATGGGTGCATAAAAAGTGAGTCCAAAATAGTATTTATTTGAAAAAGAAATTCAAAACATATCCGTATTGATTTACAATAAGTCAATATTTTAACTATATATATATATATATATATGTATATGCATATATAAATAGTTGCCCAATAAGCAATTTCCATTACCAACACAGCATGCGGAAAACAAGGTTTTCTTGCCTCCTCAAATAGACAAAATACAAACGGCCATACAAATCCATGCTCATGCATGCACTTTGCATCAAACACTCCAAATTATATGTATATAATTTTAACTATATATATATATATACACACACATATACATATGTGATGAAATTCATTAAAGTATTAATTAAAAATAAACAAATTTTCATTATCAGTTTTTATAAGATTAGTTAAATAGTAGTTTGTACTTTGATAGAGTTAAAAATGAATTGAAATTTTTAATTATATATTGACCAAATCACAATTATTTATCTAGAAGATTGCATGAACCTCAGCGTGTTTGAACCACATCACAATTATATATATATATATATATAACTTGTATCAGTCAAAAATCAAAATCATGAAATTGTGGGGAAGTTACCAAGTCTTTTCAAGTTGAAATGTGTAGTTAAACGATCTTGATTGGACGAAAAGGGTGTGTGTGTGTGTATATATATATAACTATATATGTATGTATGTATATATATGAAATGGATTTAAAGGATTACTGAAGATGGGTTAGAATTTGACCCCCTGCAAATTTTGCCAACAAGTCACCAAAAGACAAAGAAAAAATTGTATGCCATGGAGACTTGGGAACTTTTGATTCTCTCATCAATGCGGTTAAAAAAAGTCCACTTAATTACTATTTACTATTTACATTTACTCCATCAATGGGGAAATTCAAAGAAAGAGAGAGAAGATAGCTTTTTATCTTAAAGCAGAAACTGTCCATAATAGAGCATAAGCTTAAACTGTTACCAAACAATTCAATACAGTCTTCTTATTTTGATGTTTTGTCCACTTCTTTTTGCCTGTGGAATCCTCCTTCTAGGGTTTCATTCATAAATAAATGTATCAGAATTATTTCAAGACTAAATATATATATAGATATAGTGATTAATTTATATACACATGGCCATAGAGTAGCATATGGTAATTAAGAATTAAATGGTTATAATTTTATTTCTCTATAACATGTTATAGATTTTGAGATGAATTTTGTTTTCGTGTATATTTTTTATTTGGGTATTATTTCTATTATGTTATAATTATTATGTATTTAACACTTGGTATCATATATATATATATATATATATATATATATATAATTGAAGGTAGGGGGTGGGTTGAGTTACCATTTACCAATAAGAAGCAGCCAAATTCAGCAGTGACATGGTATGTATGTGCCCATTATATGCTCTAAATAATTCTTGCATTTCTTCAAATTCAAGTACCAAAATATTCCATTTCCAACCCCCCATTGGCAGTACTACCACCACAATCATGCACCCAATTTTCACCCCTTTCATCAAAATCATACATCTCTAAACACTATACTATATGTCTTATTCTTATCAACATTAATAATTATCAATCTATATGTATATTTATTGGGTTTATTAAAAAGAAAAATTTTCTGGGTTTAGGAATAGTTGAGAGGAAGGCTGCAAGAGAATCCACACTACCAAACATGGTAAAGCTTAGGAACAGACCATTCCCATACCATACATACACATACATTCACCAATTCACTCTCTTTCTCTTACTCTTTCTCTTTTCTCTCTCTGTCTCTGTCTCTGTCTCTGTCTCTCTCCTTCATCTCTCCCTTTCTTTCTTTCTTTCTTTGTAATCTGATATGATAAACAGTACCACCCTGACGATCCACCCACTTCATTTCTTTCTTTTCCATCTTCACCAACTCACCAACCTTACCTTCTTACATATATATACTATACAAACACGTACACCCAGATTCTGATCATGAGAGAAACACTAAGCTTCTGATCTGAGCTGAACTTTCTTTTTATCTCCCCTCCCCTCCCAAACTCATGAGATCGATATTCCATGTTTCAATGCTTTCTTAACATGCGCGAATAATAAATAAAAAAAAAAAAAGAAAAAGAAACAGACACAGAGAGATTCTATTCTATTATATTCTATTCTACACAGCTTGTCTTGTGAATAAAATCTCTCATGAAAAAGGGTACAGAGATCACAGGTACTTGAGTGCTTTCAACTAGCAGAGTCCAACTTCTTTCTTCTCTCTTTTTTTCTCTTTTCATGGAGAAGAAGATTACACACACCAGATCATCATCATCATCATCATCATCATCTTCTTCTTCTTCTTCTTCTTTGTCACTCAGGTTCATCATCAAACCCATCTTTCTCTTCTCTTTCTTCATCTTCTTCTTCTCAGTTTCTGCACTCTTTACTACCCACATCAGTATCACCTCAACTACATGTCTAGGTCAGTATCTCTCTCTCTCTCTCTCTTGTTAACTACTTTTTCAACATTTGCCCATGAAAATGGAGATCTTTATACAATACCCATCTTCATTATCCTCCCAAATCTCACTGTCATATATCCATCCTCTCAGTCTTGGCAATATCTATAGTACATACATAGATATAGTAACTGTCTCTGTTTTTTTTTTTCTCTCTCTGAAATTTAATGCAGATGAAATCATGAGGACTCCATTTTCTGGTAAAGCTGATTTGTATTCTCAGGTGGGTTTTTCTTAATTATTATTTCAGTATACACTTGATGATTCATCTGTCTCATTCATCAGAGATAATTACATACTACCTACTAGCTATATGTACCGATGATCTTAATCTTACTTGTTTTCCACCGTTAGATACATAATTCCATGTGACCAAGTACATATACATTTATATGTGTTACATGTATAAAAGTGTTCAAAACGTACCGTATTGACACAGAATAAATTTGGTACCATTTCTTTTTATATGACCCCAAAACACAGCTTGCAAATTGCCAGAACAGATCAAAAACCGGGACCGCCAACTCAAACCCTTACCCCTCTCATCTGATGCATGCAAATTCATCCTTCATCATTACTCAGCACAGCAAGACGCCCGTCCCCATCTCTGTATATAGGACAAGCTTGCCCCACTTACTTACACAAGCAAATATATACACACACACATAATGCCTCATGAACACAACACGTCCCAGCGCAAGTTAGCACCTTCCATTCCCACCGCCGTTCACTAACCTAAACCGCCTTTCTTTCGGCCTTCTGCTTTAGAGCCCTCGCTAACTTGCGCCACCAACCAGCAGCGCTTTAACCGTATATATAATTTTGTTGTTACTAATTCTGTGGACAGAAGAAGGAGGAGGATGGTAAAATGAGAAGGGGAAGAATGGGAAGGAGGCTGCTGAGTGGGCCAGGATCATCGCCGCCACGGTGCACTTCGAAATGCGGGAAGTGCACGCCGTGCAAGCCGGTGCACGTGCCGGTGCCGCCTGGGACGCCGGTGACCGCGGAGTATTACCCGGAGGCATGGAGGTGCAAATGTGGGAATAAGTTGTACATGCCCTGATATATTATTATTATTATTGTCATTATAAACATATATAAATTAATTAAGAGTATAGTTGTTTGGTTAAAAATGGAATTTTATATATATATATATATTTCTGTGTAGGAGGCAAAGGCAAGTAAGTTGGTGATGAGTTGTTAATTAGTGTTTATGAATATTTGATGAGAGAATTAGAGGGGATATATTTATAGGTCTTTTGCTTCTTTTATATATATGATATGTATAGGTCTTTTATATAATCCGACAAATGGCAGTGAACTCAATTGGAGTGTTAAAAATCTGTGCTTTAATATTTGACAAAAACAAAGTTCACTTTTTTTCTCTGCTCTCACACTTACTCACTTACAAACTTATGCTATAATATACGTCTATACATACATACATACATATATATCTTATACCGAATAAGTATTTTATTTATTTATTTATTTATTTATTTTTAAAAAAATAAAAAATCACCAACTTCTTATATCCCATCTACAAAATATACTCCTGATATCTACATCCACTCAAAGCGATACTGATATTATATATATAGTTAGGTTTCCAGTATGTGGCATATGCTCAATCAATAATTATATTATATGAAGTAATGAATTCTGACCCATTTCCAACTCTTATCTAACACAAATATCATGCTATAAAAATGTACGTATGTATACATATATATATATATATGTGTGTGTGTGTGTGTGTGTGTGTATATATTCTTATGAGTATTAACATAAACTTAAAGAAAAGGATAAAAGTAGAAGAAAAAACCATTAGAATTACGACAACACCATTATATTTCATTTAATCACTTTAACTAAGAAATAATTAATATAATATACAAATTAATAAATGTATCTTAAAACAGAAAATATCTCTTATATTAATAAAATTTTATTTAACTTTTAATTAATTAGTAGTAAACCATATCTTTTTCGTAATTGGGCTGTGAATATCGAGTCCGTTGAAATATATAAAGCACCGAATTGAAGAGTCCGAAATTTACAAGCAAGCATGTTTTATTTTTCACGAATTGACGGGCCCAATAATACCCTTTTTTTTTTCTTTTTTACAAAGCCCATAAAATTAATGAATCGTATATTAAAATATGTTATAAGCTTTATGAATTTTATTTTTTTATTTTAAAAAAAAATAGAAATAATAATCACGCGTATTTTTTATTTGAAATTTACGAATTTAGATAAAGATTAAAAATAAAATATTTTAATATATATAATTAGGGTAATTAAATGACGAAGAGGACATGAGGTGGATCGATAATGATGTAGGCCCAACACTTACCAACCCAATGGATTTTACACGGCCCAAAATACTGCCACGTGTCATAAACCAAATGTGTCATTTATGATTTCATTAACTTCCTAAGACGAACTTTTTAATTAAATTTGGACACCTGTCCATCGTAATAACTGAGGGACTCTGTTTGTCTCTTTTTATTTTTAATTTTTTTATTTTTTAGAAAAAGGAAAAGAAAATGACGGAGATGTTTTGTAATTTTACGTAAAATGATAATAAATTTAAATATACAAAAATATCATCCACATAAATAATAATTAAAATTATATTTTATTTAAATTATTTCTAAATATATTTATAAAGCAAATTTTCAGAATTATTATTATTTTTTTTTTGTAATATTTATTGATAAATAAGATTAAATAACTCTCAAGTCTCAACACGGTGTCCCCATTTACTCACGTGAAGCTTCCAGACAAGCTCCCGAAGCTTCCAGGAAACACTGTTGTTTTTCTCATTTAAATTATTCAAAAATATTTTTATTTCTATTTTATCAATTTAATTAATGTTAATTAATTTTCCTCATCCTAATAAAGTTATTTTTCGAACCAAAAATAAAAACCTCTTTGACCAATACGTGTGTAAATGGGGATGATAGGAGTCAAGAGCTGTAGATATTCCAGCACCCCCTATTAATTGTTAAATTTAAGTCAAAAATATAATAATAAATAAATAAAAGCAAATGTCATTTCATAATATTTTATATAGATTTTTATTGGATACCGGATGTACCAGTAACTCCTTCCTGGGATGGAAACGGGTCAGATTTGAACTCAATTTTCTGGAATTCAAACCCGATTAATAAAAAATATGCTTTCAAAATATTTTTAAACAATACGATTTTTCTATATTACTTTTTAATTAAAATTTGAGAATATATTTACATATTTGCCATCTCTTAAAACAAAACAATACCCGGGTACGTACGGGACCCACTTTCTGCATCGGGAAAAGAATCTTATTTTGGATTTTATTATTATTATTATTATTTTATAATTGCAAGTAAATATATTTAATTCAAAAAATATCGGATACTGAAAGTGAAATTACATTAAATAAGAATTCAGTGGTACTGACTTAATTTAATTATTTATGTCACAAAATATTCAAATAAAACTTACTCACATAATGATTTATACATATTTCTATAATATTAGTATGTGATTAATTTCTGGTTGACTATAAACTCTAAAATCAAATATGCATAATAATAATTTCTTATCAAAAATTAAAATATGATAATTCTTTATGTTTCTAATAAAATTTTTTGTATTTTGCGGGATATAAATATAGTTATTTGATAATTCTTTATTCAAAAAACAATTTTATTTCTTTTTTTTTTATTGTCTATTTCTTAATTAAGACTATATTTGTGTATTTATTCATTCCGATGGTAAGTCGTCTGTCTATTACCTTCAAATTTTCATTTTTGTACTCTTTGATAATTTGCTTATTTTGGTTTTAGTTCTTTTTTTCCCTCTCGAAATCAAGCTGTAATGCCCATGGAATTTCCATTTTGTTAATGCATGATTCCTTTGGTGTTATGTTTTGCTATAATATAATTTGTTTCGTAGAGATTTGAAAAATTTACTATTAAAATTATAATAGTATATATTTGAAACATATAACTAGTAGATAGTAATATTAATACGATATTTATAGACGTATTTTGTAATTGAATAATAATAAAATATGATATTAAAAAATTTACAAATTATTTTTTATTTAAATTATTATAAATAAAAATCAGATATCAAAGCATGAAGTATTAAGATCAAATCAAAAAGTATGAGCAAGATTTGCTCAAATAATTGAAAATTCCAATCAATTTTTTTTTTAAATAATTGGAAAAAATAGTTAATCTAATTTATCAAATATGAACAACTGTATAAAATATTATAGTTTTTTATATTTACATTTAGTTATTTGAGCACAACATAAATTTTCTGACTATATATCTTCACCTTAAGTAATATTAAATTTATTTACTCTTTTTATTTATTTATAAGAAGTGAGACAACTTGGATAGACGAACTAATCATATGCATACAGTAATTATGTGTTTTAATTTATATATTTATTTAATTTTTTTTTTAATTCTTAATTACTTTTTCTCTTTTGAATGGCTTATAATTATTACAATAATAACTGATAATGATATCTCTTGCAAATCAATTATGACACGCACACATGCCAAAAATTGATAATAATACAATGACGCATTTGTATTACCTTTTATTTAAAATTAATTTTAAAATGAATATTAATCAGAATTATATATAAATTAGTATTTTTAATTATATATAGTTAAAACTATTTTGTAAAGACCCAAAATTTAAATAAATTTAAATATTGAATTAAGTAACTATAAGCGGAAATAATTTATAGTTTAGAGTTTATATTTGTTACACAATAAATCATGATGCTTAATAAAATTACGAGAATGACTTTTTTTTGGGAGTTTCAATAACGAGAACACAACCAAAAATCTTATAGAGTTAACTTCAACTGCCAACTCTGATAGGATGCGGGAGGCAACTTTTATTCGTCATATTCTTCATGTTTAAGATTTGGATATCGGTTTTTATAATCTGAAATACTTAAATAAGAGGAGTGAACTATACTAGTTATGTAAGAATATTACACTTAATATCGATATGGAAAATCAAATGTTGGTAAAAATTATAAAATAACCAATAGAGCCTTTATTCATTCTTAAATAAATTCATTTAACTTAAAAATATTATTTTATAATTACCCTTATGAGTTTTCAAAACTGATATATGAAAACAATAACCTAATAATATTTTGTTACCCATTTAAATGAACAATAACAATAAACTTACTTTTTTATTGGCTTACTAGTACCTCTTGTAACACCCAACATTATTTTTGTTTTTATTTTTATTTTTTAAATATAGTTATTTATTTATTTTATTTATTTTATTTTATTTTAATGAAAAAATAGGTAAAAATTTGTTAAGGATTAAATTGAAAATAATTTTGGAAAAAAGGGGTGAAAATTTGGTTTTAGGGGTATTTTTGAAAGAAAAATAAAAAAACCGTAAATCAAAACGCAATTTAAAAAAATTACGCACCGTCAGACGCCCGGTCAGCAGCCCTGACAAACCAGGACGCGCCAAATGGCAGAGGCGCTGACGCGGGAGGTCACGCGGGGGGGAGCCATGTGGGCGATCTGCATGCGCACGATCGAACGGCTGAGATCCGTTCCCGCGCGCACGGACAGCCCAGATTGAATCGCACATGGACGATCCAG